GTAAACAGTCATGGTTGTGCCTCCAGCAGTCCTACTACCTCCTTTCATCTCCTTTCATGTTAAGGGCTTTTCATGAAAGTCTTTTGGGTGGTGCGTTGGCCCTTGCCTTCAGCAAGAACCTAGAGCGTAGCCAGTGACTTGCCTTCAGAGTTACGCTGTTACACAAACTCCTGTCCTTTGCAGTGACACATCCTCTCGGCCAGGCTGTTGACCAATTGACCAAACCCAGCTCTCGACCAATCGAACTGTTGGATCGTCGCTGCTGAAGGGCCAGTTCTCCACCTCAACATCTGGACGTTTCGACGCCCCTTTAGGACATCGGTGCTGCACGGCGACCCACCCAAAGAACGCCAAACATGTTGGCAAACTGGCAAACATGTCTGGATCATGCAACTTCCAAGACTTCCAAGCACAATTGAGCATACACCAATAGGAATTGGACACCAAATAGACTTGGCAGACGAGTGGATCGTGCTGTGCTTTGCAACTGAGCTGACTTGCGAGGGTGTTCAGGTCATGCTCTTTGGGTGGCATTCCCGTGAAGGCAAACCTTGCAGGGAATTGACAAGATTGACACTCTTTAAATTGTATTAATTGTCAAATTACATAGAAGAACACTTGAACTGAAGAAGAGACTCTAAACAAGGCAATCATGGAAAGTAGCTAGTCGATGCTAGTCCCAATCAGTGTATATAACAATGCTTCAATGCTGATTGGTTGAGGCAAGCCATGACTGAGAGAGAAAACTGACTGCTTGAATGAACCCATGGCTCCAACCAATGCGTGCTGTGCTCAACACGCAGTTGTTCAATCAACGGGTTCGTGGCCGGGTGGCCAAATCCAAGAGAAAGGTCAGAAAAATGTCGATTCGGGTTGGTTTTGGTGTAGCATTGTTGGGCATGACTGTGCAATGCCTGTTGAAACGGCCTGGCCCTCTTGGCTGGCTTCAGCTTGGTTTGGAAATCAAAGGAGGGCGAAGCGCCTTCCCCGAAGGGCAAACCAAGCACGAATGTTTTAAGAATCAGCTCGTACGTTTGCTTTGACTGCGCGTCTTGCAGATGGTTTTGGCTTGGCATGTGTCCAGTGTCACGGCTGTGCACGTTGTTGGGGAAAGGTCCTTTCTCGGCTTCCTCTCCATTTACCTTTTCTCATTGCTTCATGTTGCGTGCGCTGGTTGAAGGCTCGCTCCATTCCTTTGTTGGCTGTCCTAGCTGGTTTCTTGCCTTGGTAAGTTGCATGTCTTCAAAGGGTTGCGTTGTCTCGTTTGGCTCTTTGTCCAAAACGGAGAGTTGCTTTGATTGGTAGAATTGATCCTGTTGGGTAGCTTGCTAGAAAGCTACAGAGGCCAGCAATCACTCAAGAGTAAGAAGTTGCTTGGATATCAAGGAACAAGCTAACAGACTACTTGACTTGACTGCAAGCACAACAAAAATCTTTTCACGGTCAAGCCATGGCAAGCCGCTCTGCAACTCAGAAGAATCAGCCACCCGGCCTTGCCAGGCTCATGAGAACGCTTGGATGTGGAGCCTGTACAGCATCTTCACCCTCCGGCACATCCACCTAGGCTCATCATCTGTACAAGGGAGGGCAAGTAGTGATTCAAAATGACTGAAACATGTATCATTTCAACCAACGGGTAGAAGCCCGAATTCTAAGACAGTGTTTTTCAATCCTTTCTGCAGTTTGCATGTATGTGTCTTATCGCTTCTCTCTAAACAACTGTTTGCAGTCTGTTAGTTTACCTGCAAGAAACTCTTCACGGTGACACTAAAAGCTGTAGAAATATGAAGAATGTATGTACATATTATATAATAGATTATAATAGGAAAAAAGGGTCAGTCTTGATTGCCAACACTTGCTATGTTTGACACTCGTTGACATTGTACTCTAAGCAACGTCCAAGTTAAAACGTCACGCCTCGGCAAAGGCCTCGGTTCGCATATACTCGGACTCCTCCACCGCATGGTGTATGGCGTCACCTCGACACGTCACTTCGATCGCCGCCGCAAACAGGCACATTGAAATCGTAGCCGTTCCGGGAAGTTGGTTGATCTCAATGATTCTCAACGGCCCTTCTTTGGAATGCAATTACAGCTCCCCAATCCTTCAGTAATGTTGGAAAATCACAACATGATAGTCTTCAAAAGCCAGGACAGCGGCGAAGGCAGCTTGTTGCTTCTCTGTATCTGTTCTTGGCAACCTCAATCAAGGCAAGTTGCAGCCATCTTTCTGCTGTGAGATGATGCTCGATAGATAGCCACCGAGAATATTCATTGATTATCCCGCATTCACGAGCAACATCATGCTGCTAGGATGGCTATGATTTATTGTTGCTGAGCAAAGGGATACACAGCGAAGAAGACGGGTTCTCGTGTAGAAGCTCTCAAAGCAGCTCCCAGGCTCCCAACCGTGGCTTTCCACCGGATGCCAGCCATTTGTTGGTGTAGCGCCGAAGGAGCTCCTGAAACAAAAGCGTTGCCTTCATTGATGCCTTGATCCGAACATATAGACATATATATATATTCGAAGGTGGCAGGAGAAAAAAGTATGTATGTATATATATATATACACAGTATATGTGCGAAACAAAAATGGCCATTGACATCATGGCATCGTCCACGGCTTTGTCGAGAGCGGCCAACAAGCTAAGCAGGGGAGCTGGGCTCGGAACGCAGAACGACTCAGGCTCTTCAAGAAATCACTTCCTGGAAGAACCCTTCGCATCGTTGATTTGGTTCGTCATGTTTCGGGGGTCCTTTGGCCTTGGGCTTCACCGTGGTGTCGAATTGCCAAATCTCAGCATGGCGGGATGGAACTCCATTCCTCTCACTCTTTTTTGTCTCACCACGCCTCAAGCGCTGAGGCCAAAAAAGGGAGTTTTTCACGTGGATTCGGCAGGACAAAAGGGAGGAGAGATGGAAATAATGAAGTGATCCAACCCGTGCGGCCTGCTGAATGTCCAACAAAAGAACTATAATGCAAACGTAGAAGAACCTTGGCTTGAGACAAATGCATCAACCCTCCCATCTTGGCCGCCAGGCTCTTTGTAGTTTCCAGCCATCCTTCAGTCACGGCATTTCTGACAAATACCGGGTAACGGTACACAGATTGAAATGAAACCAATGCCGATTGAAGGGAAAGGACATGCAAGCACCATAGACTGGATCTTGCTCTGCTCAATCTAGCATCAACTCGACTTCAAACGGCATCCATTTTGCTTGAAGGAATAGGAAGGCTGTTTTCACTGAAATCAACATAGTAATGTCATGTACTACGAACATGGCGGGACTTGCTCCTTGGCATCCAAAGCATTTCGAGCAGCCTTAGGATATCCAGGGTGGGCCCTGCTGCAATGATATGACCGCTGCTCACGGTTATGATAAGCTTGGATTATATAGATGCAAGTCTGGCATGACCATGGCTTTCTACTCTTGAATATTGCCACAACTGTCGCACGCTCCGTGCAGTTTGATGTGTTCAGAGCCTGGCGTTTTCGTGCTCCATGATGCGCTTCTGGGTTGCCAATCGAACAGGATCATCTGAGCGCTTGCAGTTTCAGACACAGTCCCACTCCGTCTCATGACGTTCCGTGCCTTGGGACCACTCCCAGGTCTCCAGCACCTGCCTGGGTTGAGGGAAGACACAAAGGGGAGCCTCTCTGAAGACCTTTGGACATTTGCCAGTCGGTTGGAGGCAGAGGTAGACGAGACTAGTGGAAAGCTAGCTTCGCGAATTCGGCAAGTGGAGAACACACCTGGAAACTCGTGAAACCCATGAAAGCATCATCAAGAATTACCAAGCGCATGTGTGTGTGGCAACCCTGTGCCTCAAGTGAGCAAATGTGGACCATGATGACTTGATTGGCAAGCAAAGGAACTGCGGAAGAAATGAGGCATGAAGAAAGGGAGACCGAACAAGCCAAGGAGTTCGAGAGAAAGATGAAGATTCAGGGCAAAAGAGTTCGAGCAGAAAGTCAGAGAAAAGGGACTATGAAAAAAGAGTAGAAAGCAATCCACGACCAGGCGGACACAGAGCACATAAAGAGCCATTGGCATGAAGCGGTTCATGAAGCACAACGGACGGCCCTACAGGCAATCAAAGCCTGGAGAGAGATGATGAAGGATGGTAAAGTAGCATCAAAGTGGAGCAGCTGAGGAAGAGCATGAAGATGGACAAAAGAGTTTGAGAAAGTAAAAGGAAAGAAAACTTTCAAAGAGGGCAGAAAAAACAATGCAAGACAAGAAGGCCAAAGAGGCTACACAAGGATACACAAGGTAGATGTGATAGCCTTTGACATGCAGGAGAGCGCGCAGCACTTGATGAATAAGAGTGCAAGTAACATATGAAGACAGAACAAATCACGAGAAAATGCATCAACTGATGAATAAGATGACTGAAGCACAACCAAAGGCAGAGGCAGTCACAGGCACAGCGAAAGAGAGAAGAGACCCGGAGATCTGAAGGAAAGTTGGTCAGGGAGCCCCTGGTAGCTTCTTGTTACTACTAGTAAGGCCCTTGCTCCTAGTAGCGATGCCAGGAGCCCCTACTAGCTTCTTGTTACTACCAGTAAGGCCCTTGTTCCAACAGGAAGCATGGGTCATCATATAGCAACAGCTCGCAGCAATCTCCAGCTTGTCTAGCTTGTCTCGCTCATGACGCAGAAATGGCAGAGAAACTGACTGAATTGACTCCCCGGTCCAGTATCTGCATCTGCGCACATTCATCAAAGTGCTGCGGTACGGAATTAAATATCTTTTTATTTTGGCCCGAGACTGCTCGTCAGATTGCATGGTTGAGCTGACGAATCCATAACTCCATGCCGGTTGTGCGCCAGTGCCACAATGTCCATGGGAGGACCCATCATCCTGAATACTGCAAGGAAGGTGTTTGATGCCTTCTGCTTCAGCTGCTAAGCTTGGCTAAAGTCTTGCACGCTGTTCTGAGTGGACTTGGGTGAATTTGATGGGAAGGAGGTTGTTTCTGGTGAGTCCTCATATTCCTTATGGAGCCGACATCTCATGACGCTCACGCTCTCTCCGTCGCTCCGTCCTCCCAACATCCATCACCATCTTCTCGTAGCGCGACAACGCTTGGAGTGCGTCCTGAAAGTCCTCCCAGCTCGGTGACCGGTGACCGGTGGAAAACCGCAGTTAAAAGCTTTCTTCTAGATTTCTGCGGGTAAGAGCTTGCATTTTCCAAGTTGTCCTCTAGATCTCTGTTTTTGAGGTGTTGTTGTTCTGGTTGTTTGTTTTCAATGTTTTTTGTTTTCTCTATATTTTCTCGAGACTGTTTGTGTTTGTTTTCCAGTGCAAAGGACATTGAGGTAGCTTTCACAGACATAGCATGAATGCAGACCACAGTGGGAAGTTTATAGCACATAGATGGAAGTAGGTAGCAAAAACACATAAAGTACGCACTCTGGTGGTCCCCTGTTTTGTTTCTAAATAGGTACTCAGGATTAATCATGTGGTTCCTAGATTTTTACAGAAAGGCACTGGCTTTGAGCGTCTTTTCTTTGATGCCTTTAGGCAAGAATCCAATGCCACAGTGATGAACCTAGTACGTCTAGTAGAAATTGGTGTAAAACTGCCTTGCTTTTGCAATTCCCTTCTCAACCTCTCAGGTTTTGAAAAAGCTGGTAACACCTTTTTGAAAGTAACACAAAGGTCGTCCTCAAGCACCTCAGGAAGCTAAAGCATCGAAATGTGCGGTCTAATCCGACCATCTCTTGACAAGTGCTTCTCAGCGGTCGATGTGGTTGGGGCAACTTATGGCTGCCCTGCTATGCGCTGCCAGGTCACGCGCGGCCCGCACGTGCGATGTTCAAAGGCCTTTGGAAGCCTTGCCACTCAAAAGGATCGGCCTGATTCCCAGGTCAGTCCCTTGGTCCTCATCATTGCGGTCAAACTCCCAATCATTCACCACCTGGTTCAGCCGTGGCCCATCACGTTTGTGCACCTGAGCTACGGGATTGGCAAGTCACTCACAGCTACCTTTGAGACGCACAAAAGACCTGGAAAATACCTTTGCGAGCCCGCATGCCCGCCCAACCAGGCATGCTTTGGCAAAGGCCACAAAGGACAAGGCAGGCTTAGAAGCTGACGGCATCATGTAGTTTCTGTTTCTGTTGGTCCCTTCGAGCAATGGCCTGCCGAGCCTGGAAGCGGTGAAACCGAATGCACAGTGGCGGTCGTGTGCGCCGAGAAGACAGGTGTTGAGCTTGCTTTTTTGCATGCACATGTTTTGTTTTGCGAACGATACTGTGTGTTCAGTACTTTCATGTATTGTCTATTCTCTTGCAAGCATTCAGCAAAGACAGTCACCACCTTTCAGGTGAAGAATTGGGTTTGCACCTTGACGGCATGAATGTCATCTCGGCTGAAGTCCCATGTTGACAATGCAGCCTGCGGACCGGGGTCCGGTCGTTCCGGTTCCCGAACTGACAGAAAAGGCCTAAAGATGGGACATCAAAAATTGTGCGTATTTCTTAAGTCCGCTCCTACTCAATTAAGTAGGCGCCCACTTACATAATTAAGGAGGTGCTTCTAGGTAGGACGCAGGATAGCTCACGCACTAATCATTTGGTTCCTAGGTTTTTAGGGAAACTTGTACTGCAATAAAACAAAAAACTAAGCAAGGCATGATATCTATGGAGAGTCCAAACATGTCCAAATGCAATGCTAGTCATGATACGGAAAAAACAAAAATATATATATATATGGAGAGAGCAGCACCTTGTAGTTCCATGGTGAAGGGATGTATATGTTCCATTATGTTCCATGATGTTCTCACCTGGATGGAGTTGATCTTTCGCTCCCCAACCGCATGGTCAAGGGCACGAGCTCGAATTTGATACCTGGAACAGGTTTGGGGAGTTTTTGAACAAAACAACTGTATAGACTTCCAGGCGTTTTCGAACAAGCCGCTCGACTAAAATTCAGCCAACATCAACAAATTGTTAAACCTTTGGATGAGAACCTCCCGAAGCTGAAGATGTAGATTGAAAGAGTGGCATAGAGCAGGCTTCTAAGGACACCACATCAGCGTCATGACTGGGGGCACAAAACATCGAAAGTAAATATCTATACAGTAGTATCAATATGTATCAATCCTAGAATTATACTATATGATATGATCCTTAACTTCTCCAAGGCACCGCTTGATCATCTTCTTGGCCTCTTCCGCCCCTTCAATGTTGGTCGGACCATCTCTGCTCATGTCAATGATGGCCTCACGGGAGCAGGCAAGATAGACCCACTGGGTGAGGTTCCTACTGGAGTCTTGGGCCTTTAAACTGTCTGCAAGTAGGTGCTGCTTGGTCTTCTTTGGAGATGATCAAGATTCTCAAGTATCTCAGACAGTATATATCTCACCAGAACATGCACAACCGACAGCCTGCCATCAAAAGAAGCGCTCTCGCGCCTCTCGGAGCTTCGGCACATCCCGACGCTCGATGGCCTCCTTGAGAAACTTGGGGAGTTCTTCGGCCTCACATCGGTGAAAAAAAACTCAAACCATTAGCTTATTGTTTCTACTAGCTTCTAGTTACTACTAGTAAGGCACTTGTTACTACTAGCGATGCACTTGTTACTACTCAAACCCATCGAAGCCGATCTTGCTCGGACTTTTCTTCTCGGTTGGAGCCCACATACAAAAACCTCCTTCCAAAATCTGTCCGTGGCGACTGTGGCGTCAGTTTGAACGCACCCGCTCAGTGTTCTGGCCAGTCTCCGCCATCGTTCTAGATCATGTCTAGCACCTGACACCTAGCCACGAGGCCACGTTTGTTTGCTTTAGAAGCTTGAATAGTGCACACTGCAGCATCGCTAAAGGATACTGAAAAAGGTATATACTAAAAGTACCTGTTGCATGTCTGAGAATCCGAGACAAATGAACGTGATAATCTGTGATAGAACATGATAGAACTGCATGGGTATCGGATGGTACGAGGATGTATGAGGATGTTTGCATACTGAGTATGCTCCGCAGTATGCTTTCCCAACTTACCTTATTTGTTGGCCTCTTCGTAGATAACATGTGAAGGTTTCTAAATGGAATGTTGACACAGCTTCTGATGGATGTTCCGGTCCAGTCACTTGGTTAAATCTGGTCCAGGCCTCCGCATCATCAGCAGAGTGCTGAAACCGTGACAAGGCTTGAGCAAGACCCGCCACCTGCGACCCAATCACTTTGACTAGGTCCATGGTGTCCAAAATATTGTACAGTCCGTATCTAGCATCAGCCAAAACGCCGCAGAGCGTGCAACACGTTGTGGCTGGACAGGTGAAATAGCATGGTGCACAATCCGGATTGCACTCAGTTGATTTGCACATAAGGCTCGAAAAGCATGCAAAACAAACGATATATAAAGGCAAACACTGTGCTGTTTCGTTGAAATCGGCTCCATCGATTCCCGATGATTCCCGTATACACAGTTCCAGCACATCAAATACGTGCCAATAAGAGGAAGTAACCAAACAACTGACACGACCAATGACCAAGGTATTGCAAGTAGATGTTATTTTTTAGCCTGTCCAAACTGATAGCAAGTCCCCTGACCACAGCTCTCGCTCTGGTCGTCTCGTCGTTACCAAGGCACATCTCTCGCTCGATGAGCTTTCTTGATCTCCTCAACACCAGCCTGGTTTTGCATCAGCATTCAGTAAATCAGGCACAGGCACACACGGCAACACCGAGCATATTTCCGTGATAATTTTGAACCAATACTGGCTCCAGTGACACTTTGTGATCCTTTAAGTCTGAAGGCCCAAGGTAAAAAAAAAAAGAAGCAAGTAGTAGCTGCAATCGGCTGGTGAACTCCAAGAGAACCAACAAGGTTCTTGGGCCGTCTCTGATCTCTGATGCCGCATCCATGGTTTGACTTCTGCCAGCTGCTGGGAGCTTCGATTTAGGACCACACAATTGTGATAGGAGTGGGCCCTGTGGCCCCTCTGCTCAACTGGAACGCACTCCTTGATCTGCTCCCGGCCTGCCATTTCCCAAGAATAGCGCGTGCTTTGACCTAAACTGCGGGATCGCCAACTGGATGCTGCAAGCCGTATTTGTTCATTCAAGCTAGAATACCTTCACTGCCTTCAACTGCCCCGTTCTTCACAAGGTTGCTTTGGGGTCTTCCTATCTCAGCAATGCCACACTATCCAGTATCTTTATATATTCATCATTAATCTTCGGCTACATTCCTGTCAAAGGTTCAGTTGGAGGCAAGACATATCATGATGCCTTTATTTCACGATTGGCTTGTTGTTCTCTTGAATTTGCTTGGAGACGGACCAATCTTGCAGCCATTTCCATCCTCAGTGAGCGCAGGACTCTTCAACATCAACCTTGACCCACATACAACTCACGCTACCGTGACAGTAGTTCTACAAGAGCTACCGCAAGATCTTTGACAAAGGGCAATTGAACAATTAAGCCATGACCAACACATTCAATGCAAAGTCATTTCCACGCCAGAACTTGTGCCAAAGAAACTCAACTGAATGGCGATGAGCAGGGTCCAAACCTGGGATCAGTCACTTGAGTTTGCCACAGTGAGTTGATCCTGCGGTCGGCCACTTCTTCATTTCTTTCAGGACATTCGTGGAAGTACAGTTCTGCATTGTGGAAGTGCTATCATAGCAGTATTGAGTCATTGAGAAGTGTGTCCACTTTAGAAGGTCCAAAAGTCATGTGCAGTCGCCAGGCGAGGCACTTGAACTTCGGCGCACTGCATACACAGTCCTGCGCTTCCCAGTTTACAGCAAGGAGGGGAGGCTGCTTTGGTCGAGTCGAGGAGTTGTTTCTTGTATATGTATATTTTGACATCGGTACGATGCCAACGGTTAGTAGATATTCTTACCATCTTAGAATTTCTGGATAGCTCGTTCACGACGTGGTCGCGCTGGCTTCACTGTCACCCATCATTTCGTGGCAGCGTCCTGAGGTAGCTTTCGCCGTGGGCCTCCTTCAGAGCGCCCTCAGTTTCAGCACTGGTCTTGTCAGGGTTTCATATGCTTTCATACTAACACCAACATGGCGCTGGCGGAAATTGTGTTCCCCGGATCGGTGTGCTGATCATGGCACACTGGAACCGTTAGAACTGCGTGCCTGCAAAAGATCCGCTCTGCGACTGCGAATAGCTGCCTGTGAAGGGAGACCACTGATTAACTGTGTGTTGGCCAAATACTACGGATGCAATACTGCAGCTGAAGCAGTGGTGCTTGTGGTATGTTCTTGCGAACCAAAAAGAACTCAATATCTAGGGAAAACCGTCCTCCATCCTTGTGTACATGTTCTGACAACAAATGAACACAAGTCTTCTTCTCACGCGAGCAAGTTGTGCCGGGCCTCCACAGGCTTCCACCAAAGACGAACTGATTTCAATGCCTTCAAATGAAGCTCAGACAGCTGTTGGCATAGGCACAGAGGCTTAGGCTTGGATGGTAACGGTTCAATTAGGCAAGCATGTTTGATGATATATAATCAGCCAGTAATCAAGAAATCCGCTGCAAGCTTTAGGAGTGCTACCTCGCAACCAGTACCATACACCGGAGTGCCAACACTCAATAGGAGATCAAAGGGTGGTAGACTAATTGACATGAGAAGGACTGACACCAATGCTCATGACTCATGTCTGATCTCAGAAACGAGACCGTCAAACTCTGAAAAACAAACATCTTCAGACACGATATCTTGCATATCGGATCTTGTCAACGCATGTCTGATACACAAATGGCCTGTCTGCAAACTATCATAGCATATCCCACAGTGTATTCTAATGATGTGTCTAGTGCTTGGAAAGAATCGATATGATGTCGCTGTAGCCAGTCAACCGTGATCTGTGACAGTCACTTGTAAAACATGTGCAATTGAAAAGAAATGCAGCCCAAAGTACAAGAAATGCATACAAATGCAGCATAGCAGGAAAATACAGACAAACGATTGACCCAAGCACCTTTCAGCGGTCTAGGACTGAAACCAGCTGCCTCTGATTGTAGTTGCATTTGGGGTGGGATCGGTTTATCTACCGGAAACGCATTCTCCATTTGCCAAAATATTGTGTGTGTGTGTGTTCAAATGCGTTCAACTTTTGTTCACACATGAAAGGCCAGTGCTCGGAAGTGTTCAAGACTTGCTCACCTCGGAGAACTCCTCCTCATTGTTCTCCCACACTGCCATCGTTTCCCTGCCAGGTAGCGTGACAAATCTGTAAAGAGAAGCACACCCAGAACCACATCACAACACCTGCTACGCCAGCTGCCAGGTAAGGTGTGAGTTTGCGACATTCAGCTCTAAAGCGGCGGTGAAAACTGTCGCAAATTCGATGTATCTCCGGAAGGCTCTTGTCTAGGCCGGCTTTTCTCCGCTCTGTCGATTCAAAGTACTACGGCACTACAGGGGAATTCTTTGGGGGGGTACTAGGGGGCTCCTGGCATTGCTACTAGGAGCAAGAAGCTTCTAGGGGCTCATGGCCTTACTGCTAGATCTACTAGGAGCAAAGGACGCCACGCTCTTTTTCTTCATTCAGTAGCAACTCGAGTGCGAACGACTCCCACCTCGGTGAGCTCGGCGAGTTGGAACCCTTCCGCCTCAAAGAAAAACGCCCCGGTGAAGCGATGGGGGGTACTCCGTGGTCCCTCCGTTGACCAGTTCCCCCACCTGGTTCCCACCGGAGTTTCACGCACTCCGCCAGGACTCTGAAGCCGCTGCAAGCAGCTGTGACTCATTCGGAGAGTCGCAGCAGAGGAATTTCGGAATGACCAATGGTGGATCAGGAAGCTCTGGAGGATATGCCATCTTATTCCCTATAGGAATCACACGCCAAAAGTGTGTCTCATGAAGCCAGGGAACTGGGATGAATCAAATCAGGAAAGCTGCCAGGGCCTGGGTTCCTTACCAAGACCCGACGAGTTGGAACCGCGGGTCGAAGCAGGTTCATTCCCACCCGCCGCTCCGCTTCGCTTCGAGAGCCGCGCCGCTCGGTACGAGCACCCAGACCTTGGCAGGACCGACGACCGTCTCTGACGACCAATTCAATAGCTATGGGATCCTATGTCCTATGGGCCATGATGGGCTCAACATGCAAAGGAGACCCAAAAACAGGGTCCGTTTGACCATACCAAATATTCAGAATTCAAGTGTTGTTGAAGACAGGGTTTGTGGGAAGTCTGTGGTGTCCTTGAACTTGAGGCACACCTCTGAGACACAAAGTGAAATCATGTGAACACTTGGGTGGGACAAAATCAACGTCGACATGCCCCTAGCCCAAGTGACAAGTTCCATAAAGTCCAACAGATCTGGAACCATGGCCGATGGTCATCGAGCATGCGACCGACTTCAGATGTACTCCTCACCAGCACCTGCCCTTGAAATCCCTTGAAGCAAGCTCTTTTACAACTCCTCCAGCAGTTCAGAACGTGGTGTGACGAAGCACATCCGGTCCACAACGCGCTGAAGGAGGGAGGAGCCATCCTGAGCATTTTCAAGCCTTCTGGACTTCTGGCAGGTGTCTGTCTGTGTATTTTGCCACGCTTCCCCTCTAATATAGCGCTGCAGGCTTCACTACTTTCTGAGCATAACTGGATATCACACTCCCATGTTCAGACCAACAAAACAACGTGTTATTGACTCTGCAGAACGATTGAGACCATTTGCATCTCGCGACAACAGCATCGTTGGATAGAATGACCTGAAAGTTGCTTTGAATGTCCTAGACCTTGCTGAGTTGATGGCAAACACCAAATTTGCTCGAACATACAGAGCGCCTTCGGAATCCTCGGCTGCCGGTCATATTCGCAAAACTATTCCTTGATCTCAATGCAAGTGTGTGTGTGTGTGTCCACCCCTGGACAAAGGGTTTTCCAACACTTTCTCTCACAGGCAGGGGCGTGTGGCCTTCTTGTCCTACCACACGCAATGAAGCTGTGGACAAGAAGGGGAAGCAGGGACTGATCATCCCTGTGTACCTGCTCGTTTTCTCCACAAGCTGTCACTCCAATTTTCCTCTTTTTGATTCATGGTCGTTTGCACGATACTTCCCATAAACCCCCTTTTGCCGCGTTGTCCTGCAGCTGCGCCGCGCCGACCGATCGTTCTGCAGACTGACCAACAACTTGTTGAAACACCTACAAGTCTTTCGGACTCTCCACCATGCAGTTCCATCACCTTCCTTCCCATCGGAGAAATTGAGTTTAACGGAAAACCAGTGTCAAAGTGTGTCCACCCCTGGACAAAGGGTTCTCAACCACCTTCGGCAGGGGCGTCAGGCTCGATACACCTACCTGACGCAACGAAGCTCTGGTGTATCGAGGGATGGGTGGACTGATCATCCACCTGTACCTGCTTCAACGGTTGAGCAAGCTGTTCCAATCCTCCTTTTTGATTCCATGGTGGTTCATGATACTTCCCACAAACCCTTCCACTTTCTCACGCAGCTGAATTGTACAGAGGCTCGCCACTGCACACCTGTCGAAACTTTGTTCAACAATACGGTTTTGCTGACTCACGCACCTTTCCGTTCCCTCACCTTCCTTCCCAACGTGGTAACTGAGTCACTGAAAACCAATGTCAGAGTGTGTTTCGCTCAGCCGTCCCACTCGGGTGCTGAGTGTGATCCCCGTCACAGGGGCGCCGTTTTTGCATAGGAAATCATCCACCCCAACTTGCCACCTTTCACTGGATTTCCACTGGAAGTCATTGACACATCCATGGAATCAACTGATGCATTGGCCGCCGGGCCCAAAAACGGGATTACTTCGACAGCCGCCGGGCTATAAAACGGTGCGGTGCCCAACCCCCCAATGAGGCAGGTTCCCCAACCCCCCCCCGCTGAGTTCTACTCCCTACCTATTTAGGGCAACATAGGGAAATGGTACTCGACACACTTGTGTGTCGGTGCCTTTCCCTGTGTTGTTCCTTTTCTAGTCTTTCCTACCCGGGCGGTCTAAGACTAAAGTCCCGCTCCCTAGCTATTGCACGTAATTCATTTCTGCTAAGTAATCAGTAATTCTAGAGGGCTAAGTATTCATACACACACACGGACACACACATGTACATACACTTCCCTGCCCCCCGCTTTTCTTCTTACGCCTTCGGTCGTTTCTTGGGCTTTCTCTCAGGCTTTTTAGGTTGTTCTTGAGGCTCGTTTCCCTACCCCAGTCAAGGGCTAAGTAGTCATTTTTCCTACACCTATCTTTCTTTCTTCCCCTCTTAGCGCTGCTCTTTCTGTCTTTCTTTCCTGTTGTTTCTAAGGCTTTTTAGGTGACTATTTAGGTTTTTCACATGCGCGCCGCGAAGCGGCACCGTATATATGTGCCACCGTTCTTTGAAAAAGCGCCGAAGCCGGCGATTTGTGTGTCCACCCCTGGACAAAGGGTTCTCAACCACCTTCGGCAGGGGCGTCAGGCTCGATACACCTACCTGACGCAACGAAGCTCTGGTGTATCGAGGGATGGGTGGACTGATCATCCACCTGTACCTGCTTCAACGGTTGAGCAAGCTGTTCCAATCCTCCTTTTTGATTCCATGGTGGTTCATGATACTTCCCACAAACCCTTCCACTTTCTCACGCAGCTGAATTGTACAGAGGCTCGCCACCGCACACCTGTCGAAACTTTGTTCAACAATACGGTTTTGCTGACTCACGCACCTTTCCGTTCCCTCACCTTCCTTCCCAACGTGGTAACTGAGTCACTGAAAACCAATGTCAGAGTGTGTGCTTCGAAGACAAAAAAAAATACCCTTACAGTTTGTGCAGCTCCAAAAATGACACCATGAAGTGTGGCAAAACTCCAGTGAATTCGCAAAAGCTTATTCTTGTTTACAAATCTTAAGACTTCATCCGAGACTCCTTGATGGCAACAGATTTGCACTCCTCGAGCACTACCTGGACAATGCAGTAACTATGTGTGATTATCAACTGTTCAAGAAACTCCGCCTGGGATGGTTGAAGCACATTCCCAATTCAATACTGTGTATATATATCTATAGTTCTATAGATATTCCATTCCAATCCTGTTTCCCTCAAAAACTGATCACCACTTGGGCAAAACTCCACAAGTGCGGCTGCTTCGCCTCGGCGCCATCTTTTGCGGCCGCATGCAAGGCGGTGCACTTGGTGAAGTTATGGCCAGCAGCAGCCGCAGCCAAGAGCAGGACCTGCTCATCCTGTCGTTAAACTCACCATCACTCATGCTTGCTAATCCAAGTTCCACAGCCGCGCATGTGAAGGAATGAAGTAGTGGGCAAATGGCAAGTTTTATTGTTTTATATATAGTTGCTTGCATTCAACCAGAATCTTTGAAGGCAAAAGCAAACTTCGTCATCATGGAGCAAAGGCAAATAATGTCTTCCCTGCAATACTGCTCAGCTTCAAGGTGACTGTCAAAGCCTCTATATGTCTGAAGGCTTCCAGGTTGTCAGATCGAAATCTGATCCGAGTCCTGTGGAATCATGGCACGAATAGCTCCTGCGCCACGTCAATATCAGTTGTGAGGTCGAGCCTCTGGTTGGATTGAACCCCGGTGTGTAAGTAGTATCATTCATCCATCGCCCAGTGCTTGGTAGAGCCGTAGAACCGATAATCAATCAATCAATCAATCAAACAATCAATCAATCAATCAATCAATCAGTGCACAAAACAATATCCAAATTTACTGGCAGTGTATGGCCAGGCAGAATCAAGGTAACATGTCATATCTAAAACTAGTAAGGAAAAGTAAGAAAATGCGCTATAGCTGTTTCGGATGAGCTAGCGCATGCACCACGGTTGCCTGCTTCGGCCCCTTCTTCGCCTTCCAAGAGGTTGGCCACAAACTCGAAGACAGCCAATTTCATCATCCGAATGGACTGCTCCACAACCATGTTCATAAGTTTGCCTGCCAAGCCATTGAACTGGTTACTTGATGAATTGTGTCCCTCACAGATCTCGGAGCCAGTCAGAATGAAACACTGCACGACATTCCTTCCTCACACCCAAGCGCATAACAACTCATAACAGAATGTTCGGAGAGAATGTTCAGAGAGCAGGCAAGATCATTCGATCGCCCTGAATTGGCTTTGCCGCTTTGCCTCAAATTGAACGCATGTAATGTGTAGTTATAAATGTAACTAGTAGATATATTTAAGACCAAATACGATGTTTTAAACACCATTAGACCAAATAGGATACCTGGAGATATCATGGGAGCAACCCATCCCCCCGTCTGATGCGCAACAGCATGGCTGATTTCAAATGGGTCAAGCATCTCTTGATATCCTGCTGCTTTTCCCGACAATCACCGCCGTTCATTGAAGGGTGAACACGATAAACACATATATATATATAATTAGGTACATATTATATATTATGGTGAACACCCTGAAACGACGAGCCAGCTTTGACGAAGTGCACATGTCTTTGTTCAAACCTGTTGCCTGATTACTGTGAAGGTTTGGAGCGACAATGAATCAATTAGTTATTATACGAAAACAATCATGGGACGTGAGGCAAAACCCTTGCAGGGCATTGTTTGACATTTTGTTGACTATTGTTTCAATAGCAGCATACACACAGACCCCTGTGTGACAGATGGTGCGGTACAGTAGAGCATGTGGGACCATGACTTCCAAGAGCTCTAATCGTATCTAAAGAACTATAGTTCCAAAGCCAAGGGACCCTCAAACACACTGTTGAGGTGTTAGGTTTCAACCCCCTGTCACATGATATCACATGACCTTTGCAAAACTGCACAAATCTTTGAAGACGTTTGCGACTGCCACTCGCCTCTGTCGAAATGCTTTGCCATCCAGGATCCTGAGCGCTGTGGTTAACATCGATCATTCTGGCAATGCAAAGGACTGACCCCACCCTTAGCTCCATGGAGCACGCAAAAGTCACGTCCAGCCAGTGTGGACAGAACGACCACTGAGAGTTCTCAATGCTGTTGTGCACAAGGGTTCAAAAGGCTCGGGGAGGTTTTGGTCGCTGTATGCCATTTATGTAATTTTGTTTCTGCAAGCACAGTTCTTCACCTTCTACGTCCAGTGCAAAAGGGTGCCAATCACAGTGGCCTGGGTTGGTTTTGTTGTGGGAGGTGCCATTGGAGCGTCATGAAATCCGAGAGCAAAATGCACCTCCCACCGCCTAATCTCCACTCGAAACGAAACCCAAACTTACAATCAAACAATCGATCAACTATACTGCAAAAACATGTGTTTGCTCTGCTTGAAAATTTACTGACTTACTTGGTGTCCCCTTTTCATCCTTTTTCATCCGTCACCCGTCGCCTCTGCACGTGGCGTTGAGTCTTGGTAGCGAATCTTGGCGCCAGCCAGCAGACAAGCCCACAAGCTGCAAACGCGGCTTGTCCTCCAAGAAAAATCACGGAGGAAGCGAAGACGTTTTTGGATATAAGATGCTTCAATCAATTGGATGAGTGGTGAACTAGGATGACTCAGAATAAAACAAAAATGAATGGCTGATGATTCATTCTGTCATACACATACAGTAGCAACTTGCTTCGATCTGTGGTCAAGTGTGATGGGAAAATGTGCGTCACCGAGTTCATTCATGTTGACATGCAGCTACAACAAGAACTACAACTGGTAACATTCTCATCTACCAAAGCTTCAGGCGCACTGCACAAGGCACCCTGTCCACCACGATGCAGCAAGCGGAGCTCACACGTGCATGCAGCAAGCGGAGCTCATACGCGTAAAAATTAGACGACCAGTCGCAGTAACGTCACTCGGACTTGCAGAGGTTACTGGTAGAGCTACCAACTCCAGCCTTTAGAAGCAAGTCAACAACGGACCACCCTGCCTCCAAGAAAGAATTCTGCCATGTCCGCAACAGAAGACCTGCAAGTGTCTCAAATGCGTCTTTGTGGATGTACTACGTGGATCTAGGGTCTAGGGTCTGAAGAGAGTTCATCGTTTCTCTGCGTGATAGGCTGATAGGTCGATTGGTTTCTCTCGAGTCCTGTCCAACAATGGTCTTTGCGTTGTTTTGTCTGCGTTTCGCATCCACGTGTCCCACCGGAAGAAGCCATGGTCTCATCCCGGATGCTTCGTGTCATAGCGTGACTGATGGAATTGCCATGGTACTGCAAACCAGGGCCAGGAAGCAGAAATGACAATATCCTCAGCAGGACAGCAAGAGAAGTGTAACATGCCTAGACATATTATGAAAAATGCCAAACCGCTCTCAAGCTTCCAAACTTACATAACCTATAAATAGCACGTCCATCATGTAACGGGAACAAGTCATAGATTGTGTAAAGAGGTGTATGACAAACGCATGGACATTGAAGGTGCAGTGCATGCCCTAAAGGTCCTAGAGTAGAAAAGTGGATGCACAATCACCTACAGCTACACCAGGTGCAACCCCCTGACAACGGCATGCTCAATCACCCGAGCATAGATTAGATGTGTATTCTAAATATGTCTAAATAATTATCCTAGTAGTAAGGCCAGGAGCCCCTAGTAGCGTCCTTGCTCCTATTAGCGATGGCCTTTGCTCCCAGGAGCGTCCTTTGCTCCTAGTAGTACGGCCAGGAGCCCCTAGTAGCTTCTTGTTGTTCTGTCCGCAGGAGTCCCAGGAGCAATCTGATCAACTTATGTGATCAACTGCCTGACAAGGAATCAGCAAGGCAAGGCCAAGCGGAGAGAAAGCATGCCAGTCGGCCCAGTAGATCCTATACACGCAGGAGATGTCCATCTTAGTGTCTTAGTGTCGCTATCGAGTCCACGGCAAGTAGTTATTGTCAAATATATACTTACACAGTCTTATACATAACACCTGCAAAGAAAAAAGCTGCACCTATTCTATCATCCTATTCTGGATTGTTGCAAGGATCCGATTGTGAAGGCTCATGCTGGGTAGAGTCACCGCGGCTGCTGTTGCCCAGGAGTCCAGCACCAGCCAATGAGCACCCCCTGCGGCCGCAGGGGGTGAGATCGGCAAATGAACCAATAGGCTCGGGTCTGTGTTCCAAAAATGCTCCCCTTGTGCTTTCGAGCACACGAATGCCAACTGAAGCTATGTTGAAAGAACAGTTTGATTGCTGATGTGTAAACAATGATGAACATGACTGGGCAGTGGGTGCCTTCCATTAACTTTGCGAGAGCAACATCAGGTTTGCCGCGGTCCAAGAACCCGGTGTTCGAGCCACAGACCTAATCCATCAATCTGGCTGATCACCAGCAGTATGTCAGAAGCATCGTTTGAAGCTACTCTCTGCAAACCAACACACCTTAGGTGCCATAAATCTAGACAGACATGTGAACCAAGCAAACGCCTAAGCAGCCTAAGCAGCTATCTTTCTAAAACACTGCCAAACTGGGCAGCAAGACCACTGGCACTTCCTTGGTCTTGCCCAATTCGGTCAGAAACTGTTCGGCAGCCTGATTCAGGGCAAAGAGGGCAAAGTCCAAGGTCCGACAAGAAATCACCGCTCTGCGACTGCTCACAGATAGAAGAAAAGGCCTTTACATTGTATACATCGCAGTCAACTTGTCTTCAGTGTCTTCATAGTGAAGGTGTGCTGCAACTATGAAGATTCCATGACTATGTTGCATTCTCAATCCGATGTTTCTGCCCACCGCAATAGCTGTTCAGCTGTTTTGAGGAAGCAACTCCACCATATCAGCTCTTTAGTTCCAGGAATCTGTGCTATTTGAGGACCACTGGGGCGACAGGGGTAACAAGGTTGGCCAGCGTAGGAAATGTAGGGCTTTTGTGTGGGTCTTCATTTCAAGGACGACCCGTCTCTTGCCCCTCCGTGTTGTCTCTTGAGTCTCATGATCCAAAAGGAAGTCTATCTGAGTCTCGGCTTGCTGGTTCTCGACAATCGAATTGCTGAGATTGAATTTGCTTGAACTGATTGCATCTGATTCCAACTTGGCTGATTCTCACCAATCCACAATGAGCCTGACAAGGGTGGGTGCCAAACCATCGAGCATAGAAACTGGAGGAGCTAAAGCCGGCGGCTAAGGCCACAACCTGGGCACCAAGCAAAACGGCATCGAGCGATGGAAGCGGCAAAGTGCTTAGGATTCCAGGCTCAAAGACTTGTGTTGAGTGCAATATATTATGGCAGTACTTTAATGACTGTCCTAGTCTTTCGATGTATTGTGCTGTGGATGTTGTGTGGTGTGTCATCATCGAGGCTTCGACGATTCTGATCATGCGGACTTGTTCAGGGACCTCTATCTCCTTCAAACGTGAGGCATATTGCAAGATTTGGTGAAGCTACCTTGCTTGTTCTGCGTATCAAATCCAAGCGCCCGTTCTTAGTCCATGCAGTTCAGGCACATTCAGGCCAAAAGGGTCTTTCCCTGACTAAAGCCATAGTGAAGCCCTAGGCTCTAGACGCCAAGTCGCCACCAGCACCCCGCCACTTCATGAGTGGAGATCAGTTGATGGCCAAGCTTCAAATATATAATCAAACTCCAGTCCGTTTAAAATGTGTAGAGTTTGGAAATATGGCTTGTCACAAGAATCCAAGCAAGCCTGGTGACGATGAATCCTTTCCCCCTCCAAACCAATGATCATATACATACATATTTAGTTGTTTGATGTGCAGTAACACGTGGGTGGTGTTGCAAGTACCCCTCAGTCACAAAACACCAGGTGACTTGCACGTCGGGCTCGTGAAGCAAGTATGCGACGGCCAAGGCAGTCTTAGGCTTGAATCCAAAGGGTGAATAGAGCCTCCAATTGTTGAGACGTCTCAAAACGCTGAATAGCTCAGCTAAGTCTCGAGAGAATTCAAAATCCAATCTAGTCCAAAGCTATGCTTTGGCCAGCAACATCTTGAATCAAATACATGATCAGAAACGCTCATGAACGCCCCTTACCGTGGCCTGGACAAATCTGCAGAGACCACGAGGCGCAGTGGCTCCTATGCGTGGGGAGTTGCAGGAGCTGGATGACATCATCAAATCAGTGGAAAATCCCCAATATTACAGTATAGTAATATTCATGTGAGGAGCAAAAGCAGCTGCAATTCAAAAAAAGGCTGGATGATGCTGCAATGACTTGACCTAAATGACAACCCCACTTGACAATCCCGCCAGTGTCCTCATCGTAGCCCTGAGCAAGGACACATGCCCCAAGGAGCAAGCTCGGCTTCATTTGCTCGGCATTGCAATGTGGGTCCAAGCTGTCAATCTGAATGCTTGAGTTTGCAAAGAGGGTCATCTCTTTAAGGTTTTGTAGTGATTATCACACGACAGAAGTGAGGAATTTCCACAGACTGGCCAACGCTGTCTTGCCACTATCCAGAAAGCCAAACTGGCGAATCGGCGCCGAGATGTCACTGGCAAAGATGCTGCGGTGTTGGGATCGACGATGTCCGCAGGCTTGACACATGAGTGTGCCCTCCCAGCAACGAACCCAGAAGCACTCGCAATCACACCCCACGAAACCTGGTCCACCAAATGTTGTGCTTGCCATGAAATCTATACTTTAAGATCACTATGTTCCGGAAGTTCAACTTGTTTGCATTGTTGACGTGGACATTTCTTGAATGGCATCTTGATTCTGAAGCCGGAGCAGTGCAGGCAAGCATCAGCAAGAAACAACTTCAACATACTTCAACTAATTCACAGGGTGTTCGGGAAAAGGGCCATGAACTACTCAGCGGCGTCTTTAAAGCGCAAGCAGTGCATCACTCTGATCAAACAATGTGAGGAACATCGAAAAATTACTTTTCTTTGAGGGACCTGCGGGAGATTTCAGAATCTCACCTCTCTAGGCCTCTAGGCCTTCCAAACAGTCCTGGGACAAAGTACAAAGGAAACTAGTAACAAGTGCATCTCGACTAGTAGCTTCTAGCTGCTAGTAGTGATGCCCTTGTTACTTGTTTTCCTCAACAACGCCAGGGACTTCTGAACAGCTTTTGTGGGGACAGAACTTTAAAAACACTACATAGTCACTACAGGTATGACACGAGGTAGAGTCTCAGGTTTGCAACCAACGACTCCAAACAAAAGAAACCGAAACAACACAAACCACCGAGAGGTGGGGGATCACTGCTCGTCTTGTAACCTCTTCTCATCCCCCCACCAGCACGCTGGGCCTCCGAGCTGCGAGTGGTTTCGCGTCCGCGGAGCGGTGACCCTGGAGCGGTCTTCGCCTGTTCTCCGGTCTTCGTGTCCAAAATTTCGAAAGGTTCACAGCATGTAGCTATTACCGCGTTGGGTTCTACAGTACAGTAGACAGTTCTTCACATTTATGCAATGGTATTGGCGAGTTTCTTTTCACACAAACAACCGACTTGGAATTAGTAACTGCTACAGCCCTGCAGCTGTCGACCTTTTGCCATGGTTTACCTGACTTCAGCAGGTGCTCGCAACAGCGGATACTGAATTTGTCAGGCACGCTGCGCCATGGTCGGCCATGGTGCAAGGCAAAGCAAACACTGTACATACTGGATTGCTCCTACGCTTGCATTGCAAAGTGGCTCGAGTTCTTACAGCTTCTCCTTGCTGTACTTGCTCCAGCATAGCATCTTTCCGTGTCAGAGCAAGATTTCCAAAACCTCTGCATGCCATATAACGACAAATGGGCAACGACTCGAAAAGCTGAAGGTGCTCATGCCATCCGACCACTGAGAAAAAGGTCGCTAAACTTAAAACTTAAAACACAGCAGCTGCGGATTTCATCTCTGCAGGCTTGCTGTGTCATGCCTACCCAAAAAAGATATTGGATGTCCAAATTTTGCTCCCTTGACCCATCGCACTCGTCGCACTGTGGTCCGTGAAACCTCCAACTGCTGTCACAGTGCTTCGCTCCACGGGCTAAACGTGACGGGCTTCGCCTCGAAGATGTGACAAGCTGTGATGGTGCTGAAAGACCAAATGGGTGATGAAATGTGATCTGATGCTTCACTAAATCTTTAATATATATGATAATATAAATATACAATATACATGAAAAGAATATATAAATAGACTTGTAGTCTTTGCTATTGTGACCCGATAACCAAGTCCCTTGGTGGGTGAGCCGCTCGAGCCCGATTTGAGCCGAAGTGAGGGGGGGCAACTCCAATGAGTTAATTTTGGTCAACGACCGGACGCATGGGAACCTTGTCATACACCTGCACGAACACAGCATCAAAGAAAAATACGGCCCAGCGTGTGGGAATGCCAAAGAGGATGTGGATCATTTGGAGATGCAGCCTGACCCTCACTTTCACGGGCTCTTTGCAAATAGTTGCAAGATGTTGCCAGAATAGGACTAGGGTCATTAAAGAAGCTAGGGATCTCCGAGTCAGAAGTTGAAAAGCAAAAACCTGCAAACGAGCTGCAGTCACTGATGCACCTTGGACGTTGGCGAACATGCTTCAATGATCTTCAATGCGCAGCCAGGAAGCTTACCGTACCGAAGCACATGAAAGCCGAAAAAAAACAGCTCACGAATGCACACTAGGGCATGGCCTGCTTGTCACAAGCATCCTTGACTTAGGATCCTATTTCTGATACTTCTGCAGCCTCAACCTGCCTCAACCTTGAGCTTCTTGTGGTTCGGAAGCCAAGCCACATGTCCATGAACCGCAGGGTGTCTTTGCTTCGGCCGCATTCTGCCTCCACCGTGCTGTGGATCAGCTGCTGCGCGTGAGTCTTCCTCGGTCCATCCAGGCTTTTGCTCTTGCACATGGATAAAACTTGAGAGATTCAAAGGTGCACAGCAACCAGGTCCGGATCCACCAAAAAAAACATATCTGGATCATGAAGAAAAGGCTCGCCACATCATAAACCAGGTCCGCCTGGATCCACGCTTCCGTCTCAGCCTGGGCCTCGTTGCTTACTTACACAAGGCTTCCATCTCAGTGTGCACTCTCAGCAGCAGTATAACGGCAAACTGTTTCAATCCTGCTCGGAAAAGCTAGAGACTACAGAGCCGTGCTTCCTTTCACTGAAACCTGAAACCTGACATGTACTGTGTGTATGTCATTTGAGAACCAAAAATGTACAGTATGGTGTCGGGTTCAGGGCCTGCAGTGGCCTCATGATCACCAATAGCAAACAACATATGCAAAAATGAACAGGAACTTTGTTAAAGAAAGACATTGGTCTTGAATGACCATCTGCAAATGCACAAGTCTTGCACAACAGGGTCCAAAATGGTCATGGCCGCCTTGGACATGCCCTTCTTCAGACATCGCTGCCGTACCCGCGCCAAGTCCCAAAGTAACTTGGCAGCAAAAGCTCGCCAAGTCTCACAATATTTCCAACAAAAAGAAACAACATGGTCTTTTGTCATACCACAAACACCATGGCAATCCCTTCTGCTGCTTCTGGATGATCTTCGTGACTCCAAAAGAGCTTTGATGAACTGAATCTATCCATGAGACCTGCAGAAGCTGCTGATCACGGAGGTACTCCAACTTGGCAGGGCTGTGCAAGGCTCCAGAGAGCCAGGCCTCTCGAGATCAAACGTGCACATTATCTGTTTCCGTATCCCAACATTTGTGGTGCAGGCCTGATGTGTGGACGTTAGCCAGCACAACCACATAATTAGGTGACTTTGAGTGATTGGTGACTTGAGAGCCTGACTACACAGCTTCTACATCTGCGTCCTGAAATGTCCTGAAGGCCGTATTAGATGTGTATTCCGTTGTATTTCCCATCAACACATGTTGACGTGGCAATATAGATACAGGAACATTTTTGAATCTGGGTCCATGAAAGTCAAACGACAGCCAACGACGAATCCTGTCACAAGCTCAAACAGGCCTACCTCAAATGCAGTGAGGCCAGTGTGTCTCGCCCCTCCCTAGCCTTGATGTACCTACCAACATAGTATGGCTAAGAAATAGAGTGTACAATAATGCACAAAAAGCAGGAAGATACATTTCACCTTGCATCCTCAAAATGGGTCAAACAATTTTTGGGCCACAGCCAAGCCAAAAAGAGCGGAGCGGAAACCCGCCTTCAGCACACGCAAAAGCAGGCGTACGGTCGCAGCCTGAGAGATGCTGGCGAACGAGCAGAGGATCTTGTTTGGCTGTAAACAACAAAACAACATGTGTGCTTATCTTCAAGTCCGCCAAAAGGATTGGTTGCGGATTTATTTTTGTTTTTTTCGTTTCTTTTGGAGAATGTTTTATGGTTTTTCGGTTGTTTTCCATTGATTCTGTTTGCTTTTCCTTTTCCCTTTTCCTTTTCGTGTTTCCTTTTCTTTTTCCCTTTTCCTTGCTCCTTACGACGCTGGCCACCGCAGGCAGCACAGCTTTGCAAGCTGGCCACCTGCAGCAGCACTCTGCTCACCGCTTCCTTTCTTCCTGCCTTCTTTCCTTCCGTCTTTCTTGCTGCCTTCTTTCCTTCCTTCCTTCCTTCCTTCCTTTCTTGCTGCCTTCTTTCCTTCCTTCCTTGCTTGCTTAGCCAACAGAAGCCACCAAAGGCCAACAAAGAAGCAAAAGCCAAAAGCCATCAAAAGCCAAAAGCCACCAAAAGCCAAAAAAACACCAGAAACAACAAAAAACAAACAAAAATACCCTTCCAAAAGGATTACCCCAAAGGACGTTAAATCCGTGAGCAAAAGTGAAGAACCTCAGCCGCACATCTCTGCGAGATTCCGAAACTATAATGGCAAAAAATGCTAGTGTATCCAGTTGGCATCGAATGTGCTAGAAGCAATCTCTAGCACCATTCCCTCTAGCACTATGCGCTCCAAGGCGCCGCTGATTTGCTGTGGGCCTTCACCAGATCGCGAGTAAGCATTTGCTGTAAGATGCGACTGTCACCCTCCGCGAAGCGGCAACCTGGATGGGAGTCGTGTCACTAGAGGTGATGCTCAAAGCTAGGACACTTCTTGAGGCGGAGAATGAATCAAGACTGTACAAGAAAAACATTGATAAACGAGACCTGTGCACTCCGTAGGTGTGCAAACATGCTCATGTACAGAAACATGTGATGCCTCAGATGGCAATGGAATTGACCTTTATACAGTGTGTATGTATATATATATGTATAATAGTTTGTTTCTGTGGATGATCTACTTTCATGCATCCCAGTACAATGTCATTCTGTTTCGGTGACAAACTGAGAGCATGTCCTATAAAGATTCTGAAAGCAATGCAATTTGTTGGCCCGGCCAATTGTTCGACCACTGAACCGTCGACCCCCTCTTCTCTGTCGGCTGGCAGAGCAGGATGTCATTGTTTGAGCCGAAGGGGGAAGAAGCCATGAGGCTAAAGGATCCCACCTTAGCGATAGTTTCAACGTTTCACACCGCTTCACCCCGTTTCACCCCGTCACTGCAACTCTGGCAAGACCTTTCCACCTCGTTGTCCTGTATCTCTGTGTGTGATCCCTTCCACCTGCGAAAATCACAGGCCCCCTCCTCAAAAAAATGCCCGCGTCGTTGTTTAAAAGGAGGATAGAGCCCAAAAGTGGATTCCAAGAGCTTCAAAGCCGAAAAGGTGCCTGGGACATGATTACAAAATAAAGATTGTTTTTGAAGTCTCTATCAAATTATCCCAACAAGAGACCCCAAACAGTGTGTTTGAGGTCTAGAGGTGTAGCAGCAGAAAGTCTAGAGATCTAGGGGCCCGCAAATTCAAGTCCTACTGGAGCTCTCTGACTCAGGGGATTTGTCCTTGAAATCTGCCCATCAGAGTCCTGTATTTCCTGGCGATCTCATTCACATGGCCCGGCGCTACAGGTGGTTGGCGTCATGTGGTTGCTGCCAGTATCCCCTGCGCCACTCCTTGTCTTGTACAGAATTGTTATATCTTGTATGCGCTCGAAGACTAGTGTCACGGAGAGTTTAACCTCTTGCTCACTTGATGTCACTTGTGCAAAAGCGTGTTTGCTAGGGGTGCGCAAGTGCCTCTCGCACTGTTGTGGACAATCCCTTTGCCACATAGCAGGAGTGGCTTGCAATGCCTAGCAAATATCAGTTGCGTTGTTGCGCGTGAACCTTCTTTTGTGCTCCGTAGGAAAATGCTTCGCAACGGAGACAGAGAGCACGCCACGTGAGCCAAGCTAAGCTCTGCAGGGACAGGAGCCGCGCGAACCCTGGAGCGACTGCATGACTGTGCATGAATCCTGCCCGCGGCTCCGCGGCTGTGCTGCATGCCGCGTCTGTCTACCACGGCGCAGCAACACGTGATACAAAAGAATTGTATACAGAAGTGCAAGTGGCTCAGGGAGCTGGCGGACGCTGGCGGCAGGAAGTGGGGTGTGGGGCCACGCCGATGTGAGGTGACGGAAGGGCAACAGCACACTGCACACCAATCCTGGTTCGGGTCTGGCCCTCGGAAAGCTGAGAGAGCGGTGCTTGGTAAGCGCCATACACCGGCATTGGCTCAAATCCAATCACGTTTGGATAAGAAACATGCCATGGCCGCCTCACAAGGTAGACGCCAGCACAAAGCCTGCTTTTGGACATGGGCGCGGACAGGCGACGAGTCATTAAGACCTGCCTCCCAAGTCTAAGCCGGAGACAAAAAGAGAGAAAACCTTCTGCTGACGTGACAATGTTGCATGATCGCAATCAGGAGCTTGCGGCTGCACCGACACGGGCAGTTATGTCAAAAACTACGATCGCTAACATTCCAGTGTCCAATAAATCCCGATCACAACGCCTAACAATCCGATCACGGCACCCAACAGCACCAAGGGTTCCAAGGTTCCAGTTCCGGTTTTCGGGCGCCGGAAGCAAATTGTGGACCTCCTGCCCCAGAGATTGAAACCCAACTGCATTCTGCTGTTGGGAATAACATTTGATAGCATTCAATTGTTCAAAGGGCGGAAGAATGGCCTAACAAAGTGACTTATGAAGTCTTGCGTTCACTGGCATCGCATTTTGGCAGCAATTAAGCCCATTTAGCCTCACATGTACACAACAGTGCTCAAATTGACTGCTCAAAACATGTCGGAACTATACAGATACATATATAAACATAAATGGCACTTCCAAACATGGCAGCATAAAATTACCCTGTGGACACACCAACGCAAGGATTCATGAATCACCAACTATGCTGTTCCAACCAAAGCCACATCCCTGCGCATCAAGGCCAAGGATTTGATGGCAAACTCCACTGCTTCAACCTGAGGCGTCACAAGCGAACCCATTTATAGCTCTGAAGCCGAACTCCCCTAGACACGAGCTACCTACACAGCCTTGATAAAGAATGTCTCAAGAACAGTCCCCTGTCACTGTTATTGATCTTCTCATTCACTCCATTGCTTCTCATTCAACGAAGCCCACCTTGGCGGCCGCAATACGTGTGACCAGCTGTCTGGAGAGTTCTTGCCCAGATTGAATGGCCTGGATGCTCGACTCGGCGGCAGGAACGGTACTAGTAGAGTGGTTTGCCGCAATACGTGTGCTGTCAAACCTTCGCATTAGCACCTGTAGGGATAGTAGCATGGAATCGAGAAGCATCCTGACTTCCTTAAATCTTGCATTTTTTCAGACCTTGAATGAAATTGAAATCGCAAGCAAGCATCATCACCTCCCGCCTGTGCAAACTCTTTCTGCAGAATGAGTAGAAAGGCTTTGTGCACGTTGAGGCCCACCTCGAAACACATGCCGCATCATGCCGATCTGTGTTTCGGTGTAACCAGACGGTGCTGCCGGCCATGCGGAAGATACAAGAGAAACGATATGAAAAAACACAAGAAATACAAGCAGGCCAAAGTTCGACGAACAAAGCAGCTGAAGGTGACGAAGCTGGATACCACAAACTAGTAATGCGGAGACATGCGATTTGTGCAAGTGACAAGAAAAGAATGGCGAAGCTGAGAGGAAGTAATCCGCAAAGTTTACCTAAAAATCTAGGAATCACATGAATAGTGCGAGCGTTTCTTCAAGGAAGCTCCCTCCGGTGGCGAGGGGAGCTTCCTTGAAGAAGTGTGAGCTATCAGCTATCCTGCGTCCATATGCAGTAGCTTCCTGTACCTAGTTGCTACCTAGCTTCGACTAGCTACCTCCCCAGCTACCACCTCCTCCTTCTACCAGCCTACCCCCCTTAAAAATAGAAACACAAAACAAAACAATGTATTGATATATACATATCTATTATACATATTATACATACATTATATATCTATTATACGTTATCAATCTTTAACCCAATAGGTCATGCTTCTGTGCCTCGACGCTGTGAAGAACCTTTCTCATGTAGGGCAGCTCTGAAAGTTGCATTTGTCGCTCCTCGCAGGTCAGTTCTCGGTCCGTTCTTGCGAAGCGTCTACAACGGACAACAAGCATTGTGAAAAGAAAGCAACATGAAACTATATAATTGAAAATATGAAAGACCTGGAAAAATAAAAGTAAAAAACATGAAAGACTTACTGCAGTAAGGGTCTGAGGCGGCAATGTACTGCAACTACAAGACGAGGCAGGTTGCTGTGCAACACAGCTATTACCTCCTACAGTAGTATGTGTTACACACTGTCTTAGCGTCTTAGCCATCGATTCAGTCCAAATGCGGAGCCCACCTTGTCCACCCAAACTCTTCGGCTCTCAGCGTACTTGCGAGTAACTCTGAGGACACCTTCGACATAAGCAATGGCCTAAGTTTCGCACCCTCAGCTCCTCGTTGTACACATGTAGCCTACAAACTTACAAAGAGCGGTGGGCGGTGGGCAAATAGTTGACCTTGATGCACTGACTTGATTGCAGATCTGAGAGTCTGAGTCAGAGATGCACAACCTTCCCGACAGCAGTCGCTGCGCAATTTGCACGAAAGAGGGTGGCCGCCGTCCTGACTAAAATGCGGACAAATTCCAAATCACGGACAGGAAGCCCTTCAATTCAGCTATAAATTGATTCAAAAAGCTTGCAACTGTACTTGTAACGCAAAGAGTGACAATCAAGAAAAAATAGAAAAACAACAGAAGAAAGGCGGCAAACTAAGAGAATGGACAGGCCTGCAAAGGTATACTCTGCTCTCCAGCTTCCATCAGGGAAAACGTGTTGCTGCACGCTACAAAGCTTGGAAAGCAACGCCGTAGCAGGTAGTCGAACATGGTCGAAAGACCTTGGCTGTTCTGCATGGTTCAAAGCTGCTGAACTTGTGATGTCCGAGACAACTCGTTGGCATCAATCCTACAGCCACATGTTCACAACTGCGACAGCTCAATTTGTTTCCAAGGCCGAAAGCTTGTGAAAATGGCCTTTCAATACATGAAAGGACGAGACTGCTGCACTTGGGTGTGAACACTCTGGCATTGTCCAGCGCATTGAAGGTGGTTTTCTCCCCCATGCTCTGCCGCTGAAGACCAATGGATTGCATGTCCTTATTGAACCCAGCAAGCTCTCCCAGGTCCAGTCCCAGGTGCGGATAAATTTACTACGCTTCTCCCAGACCCAGACACCTCCACAGAATCAGAACGCTCCGCCACACGAAAAGGCCAAAAGACGCGAACCATTCACCGGTGCATGCAGGTGCATACTTGTATCTTCTTGTTACGTTCGTAGTAAGAATGCTCCTAGTAGCGATGCCAGGAGCCCCTAGTAACAGTAGCGTCCTTGCTCCTAGTAGTAAGGGAAGGAGCCCCTAGTGGCTTCTTGTTCATGCACCGATTCGACAGAAACAAAATGATTCTTTGACCCAGCCCAAGCTCAACAAGAAAGACGTGGGGCCCCAAGTTCTCCTCGAGCACCAAATTCGCCACCACAACACCCCAATCTGCCGCCAAACCCTGCGATATCCTGCGACATCATTCAACCAAGAGAAACTAGCTAGGTTAATACACACGTTGCTTTCGTGTGCATTCCTTTCTGGCTGGATGCTTCAGTAGGCTTAAATGTTGACTCTGCGCTGGGTTTGCAAACCCTGATTCTTATTTATATAACAATGCTCAAATGGTGTAGTACCAGAAACAAATCTGTAAGCTCAAGTTCAGCAATCGCTCCAGGTCTTCTCGGCTGAGGCAAATGGTGTGTGCAAATCAAAGCCACCCCCTGCGACGAATTTATCACAAAACCAAATGTTCTGAATATTTCTGGATGATGGGCCTTGGGCATGTAGAACATCAACTTCGATCTTGCAATTCTGACTGTTACAGTGAGTAAAGTGTTCTTTGAATATGACTGAAGAAAAATTATATGGCTGTCATAGCGCTAAAACGCCAAATGCAAATCCAAAATTATATAAAAACTTTGGGATTGAAACACACTAAATCCTGCTGGTACTACCGCATGCGATCTTTACAAGAGATACCATCGGCCTTCTGCGTCCCAGGTCCATGTGGCGGTTGTCTCGACCACCAATCCACTCAAGACACCTGAGCGTGGACCAAAAGGATCCAAAGGTCTGATTAAAAACCTGCTCGTAAGGGTCTGCTTACGCTATTGCTTACACTGTACTTACGCGACCACAGTTTTCGCTTACGCGCCAGATTTCCTCTATAGGAGCTTACGCTTCCCTTACGCTTAACAGGAGATAATGCCTGAATTGCATGTCCGCACAGCCGCAGCTTACGCACAAAATTTTCCCGCAAGGAATCTCAAGGAGAAGACTCAGACAATGAACTGATGAAGTAAGTTGATGAATAAGTTTCTTCTTCTGCAGCTTTTGGTGCTGCCAGTTGCCTGCGCCTTTTGGCAGCTTGTCTGCTTAAGGCCCTTGCCTTTGCTGAAAGCCTGTCTTCGAGAGATCTCTTGGGAGCTGGCATCTTGCTGGTTCTATGTGTCTTCTGTGCCATATGCTGGCGGCATCGTGGACTAGGATGCACGAGCAAAAGTTTTGTTTACGCACTGCTTACGCGCGGCTTACGAGGTGCTTACGAGCATGTTCGTGTACTTTCTGGCCAAAAAAAACAAATTCAACGCAATGAGATGGAAAAGACATAGCTATGATGCCACATATATTTGCTAATCGCTGGAAAGCCTCTCACGGCCACAGAGTTGCAAAGTCACTCACTCCAAGCTCTGGTTACTGCCAAATGTCTAGTTCTGAAGGTTGACACTGACTAAAGCACATGGTAGCAGCACCGAAAAACATCTACTGCAAAGATCATCAAAGATCCAACAATATCCAACATAATATGCTTACGCACTGCTTACGCACTGCTTACGCACACTGAAGTGTCACCATAACCTTACGCAACTCACAGTTTTGCTTACGCACACTGCTCTTATGAGCAGGCCTTACTTACACATGTAAAGGATAGGTTTAGACCATGCTCACCTGGAGTCAATGGATCCAGACTTCTCCGGTTCCCAATCAGGAGTATTCATTCAGATTCCTCCAAAGTACGATGACATCTTTTGAAGCGGTTTTTGCGAGGGATGACATGGGATGACAACTGAAGTTCAAAGTGTAGAAGACAAAAAGAGCAACATACACCAGTACTTAGAGTAGGTAAGTATTAAATTACATCCTCATCATTTCTGATCTACATTATACATTCTCAGTATTGTCATTTGTATGATCGTGTGGTCGATGTTGAAGCTCAGTCTGATCGCTGTTTGCCTCGCCTGCACCCACCTCTGTGAGCATGAAGCATCCCAGTTGCCCGCGCGTTTGGGATTCTTCCAGCCAGCCTCGGCGCCATGCGAAGCCAAAGTAGAACGGCACAGTCTGCAACACAAATGTCTGCAAAAAGTAATGACGTGTTGTTTATTGACACCTGCAATGTACTTTTTGATACTTCTGGCAAGTCACGGTTACTGCAATATGGTGTCAGAACATGTCAGAACCAGAAGTGGAGATTTGATGGGATTTCATGATTGAATCGCTTGGCCAGGCTGCGACACTGCTCTTCGTTGCCAAGTGCCAAGACTGTGCCGCAGAAGAGGTTGTAGTGAACCTGGGGGGAATGGCACGAAGAGGCTGCTCTCACAGCAGAGCTGGCATGAACATCAAATGACTCCGAGAGGAGAACCGATAGGTTGACAAAGATTGCCATGCTAAGCTCCAGGCGGTCATGCGAATGCCAAGGCAGCATGATAGACACTCCTGCATGCGTCGACAGTATGCAAGGCGCTCCAAGTTTGTCTGTCGTTTCATCACCGTTATACAGTAGTATATATGGCGCTCCTGGTGCGCTAAAACACGATGGCTGGCGAAAAAATCCAGCATGCCGTCACCTCAGCTGGCTGGGGCGCAGCGGAACACGCAGTTTGAATGGAGTGGCACTGGAGGTAGTGACCATCCGAAGAGCCGAGCTTCACGCTGCTCGTGATGCTGTCTAAGCTCAAGTAGCCACCTGCACTGTCGATGTCTGGAAAGGTACGCGTTTTGTTGCACAGCTTCTGAGTCTCGATCGGTCCTGGTACAGTATTCTGGCCAACTTTGACCATGCGACATAATGCATTGGCACATGACGTCGGTCAAAGCCTTTCAGAAGATCTCGGAGTTGTTCCGCATGCTCTTGCCAGGGAGCATTTTCCTTAGCTGCGACTAGAGATATTTGTCTTGTTGCTAGCAATCTTAGCTTCCATGCGTGCTCTGAAAATTTGAAAATGAGGAAGCTTGAGCTGAGTTCATAATGAAACTTAGCACATCATGCAACAGCATGCATGTGGACGTAAAGTATACATGTAATTTATATGATTCATTATGTTCCGCATATGCGAAGTCACGAAGAAGTGTGGAGTGAAACCCACACACATACCCTCTTGAACCCAAGGTTGCTCCTTCCGCTCAAGTCAAGAGTCATCCATCTGGCGATGCTTGTTGATGGACAGAAACCTCTTCATCAAGAGCTCCTCTCGCCCTCAGAAATGGTGCATGCACATGCGCGCAATTTGAAGTTCACACATTGCTAAAATGTGTTTGAAACATGCCTAGGCAAGGTTGCTCTTGCAAAAGCCCAGGCTTTGAGGTAAAGGCACAACTACAATATGAAGAGTTATCTATATAATGTTCGTTTCATAAGAGTTCAACCAAGCGGCTGGCTAGACTATCGTACCTGGGCATGATGGGAAATATCTTAGAGGCAACCAATATCCCGGTGTTGCACTGTGATTGTATCAAATCCGACGTCGGCCGCCTGAGCAAAAGGTTGAAATGATATGAAAGGATAAATTAAATTCTACTTAAATTTATTGTTTCTAATAGCTTCCTTGTTCCTAGTGGTAAGGCCAGGAGCCCCTCGTGGTGTCCTTGCTACTAGTAGCGATGCCCTTTGAACTAGTAGCGTCTTATACCGAAGGGTCGTGAAAGGGCGCTCAGGGCCGTTGAAACTGAAGATCGGCCAGGCAGCTGCAGTTTGCTCGCTGCTAAAGAGGTTGGATCCTCAGACATGTGCGAAAGCAAAGCCACCAGGGTATGTCCAACATTGGTGCTGTGATGTGCTCGGCTTGCATTGCTGCAGAATCATTTGCGATCAACTCGTAACAACTTGAATGTTGCCCATCTTACTTACTTATTCAAATGTCAGTCCTATGGTGCATTGCAACACCAATAAGCTTTATATAGCCTCGGTTTTCTATGTCGATAAAAATTACAATCTCATTCAAGTCCCTTGTCTGCCCCTTTTCGCTTGCTGCCTGCGCAGAGCTGCCTGAGTTAGTCAGAACATGTCGGAACACCAAACGATCACGTCGACAGTCATGCCACGGCACCCACATCGAGGAAACATCTCGTGGGCTTCTCTTGATCCGTGACCATGGCCAATGTATGGTCTCCCAGTAGAGCAAGGCCTCCGTTGAGCAGTTCGGCGATTGTTTCTGTTTCCCACAAAATGAGGATTTGGTTGTTGTGGTTGAAACGACCTTAACATCTGTTTAGGTCGGGTTGGTGTATGGATTTGCCGTAGCTCCATGAGGATTGTCAGCCCATATCACAAGCAGGAGTGCACACTTGATAGTGCGAGATGTGAGGAGAATTCCCACTGAGCAAACACAACAATGCATGGCCCTGATATGCCCCTGATATGCAAACACATCAAAGACGCCACGTTTGGCGAAACGCCGGACGTTTCGACTCCGCCTGCGTCGAGGCGACGATCGCAAAGGCCTCAGAAGCCCAACGATCGAGACGTCGCGTCTCCAGCATCGCAGGAACGAGCGCCTGGCGGTCACAAATGCACTGAAGGCCAGTGCCAATGAAGCCCACGTCGGCAAAATGGCCTCAGGACATCAATCTGGGAATCAATCTGGATGGCTTGATACAGGTTGGATAGCTGCAGCTACCCTTGCCAAGAACTTCCTGCCCGAAGCTGCCAAGGAACCAGAATAGCTGTCAATGGGGCCTAGATGCAATTCCAAGAGTTCGGATTTCGACATCAACACTTGGCAAATCAAAGACTCACGAAACGTGAGACATGCTCATCAAGGTCAGGCCTCTTCAGCCTCAAACACCGCCCATCCATGTTGTGGCGCCCAGCTCGGCGATTGTCCAGCCATCTTTGCAACTCGCTCTGAAGTGTTGCAACTCACCAAAAGTAGCTGCTCTAGACATATCTAAAAGAGTGTCCGCCAGAGGCCAACTCCACTAAGTCAGCAAGACTTGCTCATCAGTCGGAAGATGTCGGAAGTATATCAGATCTCGTATGAATAGTCGGGGATTGGTTCTAGAAGCTTGATTTTGCAAAAACCATTGCGTATTGCACCGCCTACCTTGAGAGACTGCCTCTTGCAGTCAAAAGCAGAAGCTTCCCAAACACAAACTCAAACGTTATCGAACAAAACAATACAATATAACAAAATATAGTATAATATAATATATCTTAGTATAATCTAATATATACAATATAATACTCTATGATTGGGAGTTGAATCAGCTTGAAATGGGCCCGTGCACCGGCATGTGAATTCTTTGAAAAGAAATCTCCATAGCACATCATGCCAGTGAAACCACTCACGGACCCCACAGCGGTGCCTCCCAAACAGAGCCATGGCTACTGTCCAGTCCCGGTAGGGGCCCTCTCTCCTTCACCTTGACGAAAGCTTCGAGCGAGTCCGGAACGTCTGCTTGAGGGTTGACCCACAGCAATTAAAAGATACAAACCGTTTGAAGTACAAAGTGATAGAGTCTGACAGAGTGATAATCTAGTAATGCACGTTTTAACTACTTTTTGAAGCTTCGAGGACCATCTTTGAAAGAAGCCCTGGGTCGTCACTACAAGCACCAGGTGCGATGGGAAAAGGCCTGATACTGTGAAGAGCAACTGAGGTGATGGTACACGAATCTGTCTCCATTTAGCCCTGGTGCACATCTGCCAGCCTTGCCGCGCCCTACCAGTTAGCGCACCCTAGAAATCAGTTTTTGAAGTTTGCTTCTTGGCTTCCCCGCCCGAGCACTTTGTGGCCACGGTGGGGCAGTTGTGAAGACATCTTTGGAGAGCCGGGGCAGCACCTGGGTCTTTTGGCAGATTACAAGTATATGGTTAAAGCTGCAGCGCGTTCTTTCTCCCCTCTGCTACAATCAAATTGTCAATTTGTTCACAAAGTACACCCTTGCTGCATTCCTTTAGCAGCCCATGGACCCTTCGTAACTGTTCAAGGACTTGGATCAGAAAAAGAATAATATACATATGTTAATGTAAAATAGGTAATTATATATATATACAGGTATAGACAAGGTCAAAAAAATTGCAACCGCAAAACATTGCCATCTTGAATGTGCCAGAGCCACTGGTGGGACTGCCGGACGCTCTGCCATAGCCTGGCTCTTCACATCTTCTCATTCAAGTGCACTAAAAGGTCCTTGTACTATTGAGTGTCCAAACCTGAAGCTTGTGGTTGTGAGAGGTTTCCAACAGGAGAGGTAATAACTTCTCGCACCTGAGCATCATCCCATGGCCCTGGGCATCATCCGATTTGCCCTCACTCTTTGAGCCGTGAATGGCAGCGCGGCAACAGTAGAATATGATGGTGACTTAGGGACGATTCTTTCTGCATAAGCACCATGAGAACCCCATGAGACCGCATAGAATGCCATATGAGCGACGCTGTTTATTTGTTGTGTGGGCCTTGCACATTTCAATTTGGTGAGTGTATTATCGTTTTCCACGTTTTGAACCTTGCTTATGTTAAAGGTTGTTTTCACCATGCAGCAGACTTTTTGGACATGGAAGCAGACGTGCGACGGTCAAAACTCCTTCTGTGTGGAAAGGTCATGGGTATCGCCTTCAATGGTGGCATCGCTACACACAGCGCCAGCATTGTTTTTGACGTGTCGCCGTTTGGTGGGAGTAGTAGCAAAAGCAGAAGCAGTAGCAGTAGCAGTAGTAGTAGTAGCAGCAGGAGGAGTAGTAGTAGTAGTAGCTGCAGTAGGAGTAGTAGTAGTAGCAGCAGGGGTAGTAGTAGTAGTAGTAGTAGTAGTAGTGGTAGTAGTGGTAGTAGTGGTAGTAGTAGTTGTTGTTGTTGCTGTAGCAGTGGTGGTGGTAGTAGTAGTAGTAGTGGTAGTGGTAGTAGTAGTAGTAGTGGTGGTGGTGGTAATAGTAGTAGTAGTAGTAGTGGTAGTGGTAGTGGTAGTGGTGGTAGTAGTAGTAGTAGGTGGTAGTAGTAGTAGTAGTAGGTAGTAGGTTGTAGGTAGTAGGTAGTAGGTAGTAGTAGGTAGTAGGTAGTAGTAGGTAGTAGTAGGTAGTAGTAGGTAGTAGTAGGTAGTAGTAGGTAGTAGTAGTAGTTAGTAGTAGTTAGTAGTAGGTAGTAG